GAAGGGAAAAAGACACCCTTATTAGGAAAGAAAATGAGCACGTGTCAAAGTAAAAAAAAGGGGCAATTATCAGAGAAAATTGGCATTTCTCGCACCTGAACAGAGTCACTTACCAGAAATGAAAAAGGGCATTTGTCGAAGGAAAAAGGACACCTATCAGATAGTCAATAGGGGTATTTATCAGAGGTGAAAAGGGGTATTTATGAAAAGGGGAATCGGCTCTTATTAAAAAGGAAAGGGGGCACTGATCGGAAACGAAAAGGGCACTTATATAAAAGAAAAAGTAGACACATATTCAAATAAAAGGGGCATTTATCAAAGTTAAAGGAGCACCTCTCAGAACTGAATAGGGGAAATTATCAGAGGTAAAGGGGGCACTTATAAGAATGTGGAACGGGCACATTTCCTATGTAAAAAAGGGGCATTTTGGGGTACTTGAAAAAGTGTGAGGGGGGACTGTATCCCTGCCACCCTCCGGTAGCGCCGAATGGCATACCCACCCACTGTTTCCCCAAAGAATTGTCACACTTTCAGATGCCTTATTGGTTTTTAAAACATTTTTTTAATGGAGATGTGCCACGCCCCCCTCCCCCTTGGCCTGGTCCCCCTCCCTCGATTATCCAATGTCCTAGAATGATGCAGTCATTTCAAATGTCGAAACAGTGGTCAAGGACTTAGGACTGTCTTGTATTTACTCCTATCTTGTCTTCTCCACTAAGTCATTACGATATAAAACATATATATCAAATTAATGTACTCATTTTCGTTTGTAGCTCCATGATCATTGATCTCTACAAGTAAAAAGTATAGCTCAGTGTCCATGATTCAATATGTAAAAAGGTGGCAGTCAGTCAGAATGTGAGGGCGCTATAGCCATTCTGCAGCCAGCGCCACTATCAAAACATGGACATGAAAAAAGTGAGAATCTTGAGCTTTTTGTGTGGCGTCTTTGTATTGCACGAAATCCAATCCCTTCGCAAAAGCAATCAAACAAACGAACAACAAGCAAGGAATTTAAAGGAAAAAAAGAACAAAAATTAATCTCTCTCTCTCTCTCGAACTCTCTCTTTCTTTTAAACTCCATTTTCTACTTTCTCTGTACCCCTACCCTATTTGCTCTGGGAACAAATGATCCGGGCTCTATTTTATGATTCAGGTTTATCCTTTGTCCTTTATAATATTGTCTCAAATTTCTGAAATATTGTATGTAAACTTTTTCAAATTACTGTTTTAAATCAAACTGTCCGGTCACTCATCTTCGTATACAACCACTTTTTAATTGTCTCCTCCCTTCTCTGTCTAATTGTTGTCTTTAATACATATTGCCAACACACATCCAACATCTCTCTCTCTTAAATGAAAGGCATGTATTCTTATCGTCTCTCCCTCCCAACCCGATCTAATAGCCATTCCTACGTAGGAAAAACAAAATATAAACCCAGGAAAAAGCTAGTTCATCAACACGTACCTCATAAAAAGTGTGAATGATATATCAACACCTTACACAATTAAAGCATGTACTATAGACAATTAATTGGAATTTCTCAGGTTGGGGGTTACAATAATTGTGTTATTCCATTAAACAATCGATCTACAAAAAAAAAAATCTCCAAAGTGACTTTTTAAAAAGGTTTTATCAACCTCGAGTCCACATCTATTTATTTCTCGCATCAAATAAAGCAGAAAAGAAACAGTTTAAGTTGTTTTTCAAGGTTACAAGTTTATTTAGAAAGTCTCAAATTACAACCAATGATGAAAATACCCTACACCTTGGTATCAAAGAAATATAGCTCCTCTATCTCTTTCTGTAATGACCGTGTACATGAAAAACATGTACCAGTCTTTATTACTTTTTTACATGGTATTTATATATATATTTACAGGTGATGACACGTTTTCTTAGCAGTGATTAAATCTATTTCCACCCTTTGCATCGCTATTTATGAGTTCAAGACAAAAAAGATTTTCCTTCTTTTACACACAAACAGAGCACACAGGACACAGGAATGATACAATATTGAAAAGAAACTGTAGAAATTCACAGAACGTCGTAATCTTTGACAGGTTCGTGCAGTAATAGATTTTTCTAATGCACTTGAGAAATACAATTTGCCAAATTTAGCAACCATATTCCATCATATTTTTTTTCTTCAACTAATCTATTGGAGTCTCTAGGAGTGTATCATCTCAACGGCACATATCAAAAACATAGACAGAAAAGTGTGGAAGACTCGTTATCTCTTTCTCCACTTTGTCATACGCCCGGCAAAAGGGCATGAATAAATGCCTCTTACTATAAAACAACAAATAATGATTTTGTTGATTGTTGACACAGGACACAGGAATGATACAATATTGAAAAGAAACTGTAGAAATTCACAGAACGTCGTAATCTTTGACAGGTTCGTGCAGTAATAGATTTTTCTAATGCACTTGAGAAATACAATTTGCCAAATTTAGCAACCATATTCCATCATATTTTTTTTCTTCAACTAATCTATTGGAGTCTCTAGGAGTGTATCATCTCAACGGCACATATCAAAAACATAGACAGAAAAGTGTGGAAGACTCGTTATCTCTTTCTCCACTTTGTCATACGCCCGGCAAAAGGGCATGAATAAATGCCTCTTACTATAAAACAACAAATAATGATTTTGTTGATTGAAAATGTGTTTAGGCCCTTCTGTCAGTGAGGTTCATCAACATTAATAAAATATATTTGATCTTCTATCAGTCTACAGAATGATATGTATAAAAACAGTTTGTTTCCTCCACCTTGTATATTCAGAAGTAAAGGAAATTTGTTCTGGGCCCTAAAACTTGTTATCGATAACAAATGCTTTAATTTCTATGACAAACTGCTCTCAGCCAATCACATGCCACAATTTCAGTACCTTATAATAGTTATCGTAACTTGTCATTGATAACAAGTTTCATGAAACAGAGCCCAGGTATGAATATAAATATGCATTTCTCTATCTTGTCTATTTCAGAAATGAATAGTGAAAGTTCTTTTTCATGTAATATAGAACAAGGTCCACTCATTGTTAAAACCGATGATACAAGTTTCTTTTGGACATGTAGTGTATAAAAACATATACTTTTCATCTTACAAAATGTTAGCAATGCACACACACACACACACGTATAAACTATTACCGGTATGTGAGAGTGAGAGCTCGATTATACTTCAATATCCTTTAAACGGGATATCCATTGTTCTGCTTCTATCAAAACCAACTTGATATCAGGATGGACTTCCCCTTTAAGTAATTTCTACACCATGAAGATAAGATTGAGGTATAATTTATATCTTTCCAATGATTTTAATTCATCATTTATAAATCAATTCGATTGGATCATACTGTCTGTGCTCTAATAATTGTAATTTTAATTAAAACAAATCTTCGAGCTACAACAAAGTCTACAATACACAACAACAATATATTTTTATTTTCTGTATATGTAAATTCATTGAAGGTATAAAAATATTTTTTCTTTGACTAGCTATGAATACCGATACTTTGTATGTTGGTATCTAATTTACATACTAGTATTGCATTTGACAATGATATTATATGTCACCAACTCAATGAAATCCAATAATTTATAAAGTGACGGTTGTTCACAAAACAAAACAAGATACGATACCCTATTAAATGAACTATTCAGCAACTAAAAAATAAATAGTGGTGATAAGTTAGAACGGTTATATTACTAAGCAATTTACTTTATGAATAATGGAGCAGATATAGGACAAAAATGAATGTATGGTAAACAACATTTCTTTTTCAGTAAAATATTCTATAACACAAATGTTGACGTCGTTGGACATGGACTCCCATTTTCTACGACATACATAGAGAAAGAGTTAGAGGGAGGTTTTATTGCTATATGAAAGATAAAGCAGAGGCCTCATGCAAGCTACCTGAGTTCGCGGTCTTTCTATTGAAAATAAAAAATCTGCATTAGGTACTTCAAAAATGGTGATGCTTTGATACATTGGTGCACTACAGTTTTTTCTGTAAAAATGCATGATTTTGACAAAGTTTCTATGTTAGTAATCTGCTTTTCGTTAATTTTTGTAAAAGCCTATGCAAATTTCATAATCAATTGTTAACAGATTCTTGTGCTATTTTCCATTTTCACAGTAATACATGAGCTACATGAACACTTTAATAACAGATAAACACATATCCTTCAAACATTCTGATCACGTTCACATTTTTGCTTAAGAGTAGATATGTAGCCCAACACGACCAGGATTCATCTGTCACGTTGTAATGTCTACATTTATTGTTCCCAAATGACGCCAAACTGCATCAAGTAAGCGCCAACGGAAACTAAAATGACAAGCATCTCGCATTCCTGTATCTAGAAGTGAGTACTTCACTTCGTGGCCTATCTTGCATGCATATTTTCATCTCCACTCGTCATTCGTTTACAAGTGAAATAGTTTCAACGTTGCCAGAGTGGATCAGTTTTATCTGGCCCACTTATATCTATAACTCATTCTACATCTGGGACCTGTTTCACAAAACCTTTATTCCAATGACAAATGACAAAAATTTGTGACAAATCTGCTGATAACCAATCAGAAGCAAGGAATTCAGTAGCTTATAACAAAAACTATAGTTTGTCACTGATGACAAGTTTTGTGAAATGGGTTCCAGCACTTTCATGTTATACGCATGAACACGGTACATCAACTTCGCGTGTAGAAATATACATCCTGTTGAATGCTTTACAAAATCAAAGTAAACAAATCTCACATTCCTCATGATTCGAAAACTCTGTAAAAGAGCAAACCACTGACATTTCACTGGAAAACTTTCTCTAAGTACAAATTCCATAATAGATTTATAACGATCAAGAAACACACTTAGAAAAGAAAGGATAAAGTAGGATAGTACAGAAGTAGGAAAAAGATATATACTAACAGCCTATTACCGGTATGTATTGTATTACTTTAAATAGTCAATATCTACCTTTGAATATTATATATCCAAACCCTGTTTAAATATTGTTTACGAAACATCGCCTCTGTCACATACAGCCCTGGTCCCACACACACACATATATGCTGCATGGAAAGCAAATACCCAATGTATAATGCTTTAATCATACAGCAAATTGAGACAGTATGGTGTTTTAAAACATGTAAATCTTTAAATCTGACTTGATTCATATCCCCCCCCCCCCCAAGTTTATAAGCCTCCTTAATATGGCAATTTAAAACTGCACAATGTGCAACATATCATTATCATATATTAACTAGCGAGGCCAATTCAAATGAGCAAATTTCTCACTGTTTAGATGTAAACACAAACGATACAGAAGTGTTAATATTTCAGCCACTTTTCATTACCATGACAACAATGAAATCACCATGTGCTCCAGAAAGGATTTCATAATTATTTTTAATTTTACATTCTAATTATTGAACCTTGTTGTTGTGTAGCCTGCATGCTACCGCGGCGATGAGGGCGGCGCCCTTCCCGCTGCCGTCCTCCGACAGCATGAAATTGACCTTGACACCAGGGACCAGCAGTTTCATCATCTCCTCCATTTCTTGCTTAAAGAGAGGGTGCTTCTTGTAGAGGGTCCCGTCGATCCCGATGGTCACCTCCGGCCGGTCGTCTCTCTGGACACGCTTGGTGACCGCTGCCAGGCCGGCCACGGCCAGGCGGGCGGCACGCTTTGCTACGGAGTGACAGATGACCCTGACGAGTTCGATGTCTTCGAGCGAGGGCTTCAGGTTGAGGTCGGTGAGGATCTTGGCAACATCGGTCCCGTTGTTGGACTTGTCACTGGAGATGAAACACAAATAATATTGAAAAATTATTGATTGGGATGTTCTGAAAAGTTCCCATATATCATCGCATTGACTGATCTAAATTACATGTCATTTTCAAAACATTGAAGATAAAGGTGAGTTCTGGTAAAAAAAAAAAAAAAATCTTCAGAATCAAACCAAACTTACACGGAATGTTCAAGATTATAAATAAATGTCATTTGCCAAACAAATTTGGTAGAAAATCTATACTGGCTGAGCATAAATGAGCATAGAAAGATAAGGAAATCAAGGTTAGTAGCCCCGACACCATTTGTGTAGTCCCATATACATCTTTCTGTGCACAGTGCTTGTTACTTTACCAAGACTGGGCCAAATTTATTATGATTTTGATGACTCCAGAACTTTGCAGTACACACCAATACTTACATGCTACATGATCAACTTTTTCTGATCCATTCCACCTTTTCTTTCACAATGCAATCGGATGACCAGAACTCACCTTTTTCTTTAAAGATATGGTGGAATGGAAAACTAATCATCTCAAAGAAAAAGTTCTTTCCTGTTTGAAAATCTTACATATTTCTGAACGAGGTTTAAGGGAACAGGAGAAACAAGTAGTCAATGGATTTAAGTGTTGTGAGCTCAGTGACTTTATTTGAATCAAAGCCTGCATGATGCATTGGATCACCTTGAGCAGCATAAGCATTGCTTTAAACCCCCGAGTCATACGTTTTTGAAAAATTGAAATTTCAGTCATTTTCAGTGTTGGAACAAGTTGAAAAGTTGTCAGCCACTACATCACAGAGACGTTATCGATTCAGCCAATATGAAGAGCCCATAAATACATGTATAGTGATTTTAACTTCAAATTATTCATAACTTTCTCATTCTCATCCGATTTCATTCAAACCGTCACCAGTCTGCTTCTCTGATGTTTCTGCTTTTTTCTAAAGAAGTTTGCTATCAAGGTTGGATTTCCCTTTAAGAATGTGATGTGTACTCACTTTTCAATATCTGTAGTGAATCTCGTCTCAAACTTTCCTGGTGTGTCAAGCTCCTTGGAGGAGACTCCATTGAAGAGGAGTTTAGACTGGACCAGTTTGACCATGACCTGTCTGCTAATCTCTCCTAGATACATGCCTGAAATCATCTTCTCATATCTGAAAGAAAATATATAGACAGATTGAGAATATTAATGGCTCGATGGCTTCTGAAGGAAGGAAATGAATGATTTCATAACGAAAATTATTATTATCATTATTATTATCATTATTATTTTCATTATTATTATTATTATTATTATCATTATTAGTATCATTATTATAACCATTAACATTATTATTATCATTATTATCATTATTATTATCATAATCAATATTATTATCATCATTATTATCATTATTATCCTTATCATCATTATTAGTGAGAGACGGGAAGGATTGGGGAGTCCTGAAAGGACTCTCTGTAATCTTTCTTTCTTTCACATGGTGCAACCGCAAGTCTACTGTATATCTACATCACCATGCAAGCTGATACTCATGAGCAGCATTATTATTATTATAATCGTTTTTATCATTATCATCACTGTTTTTATTATTAATTCTTATTTATACAGGGTAGCCCCATCGGTGACATGCTGTTTTCCCAGGGGGCCCTGTTAAAAGATGGATAAGATGCAAATATGAAAAAAAGAAAGAAAGAGCCGACATTCACAAATGTACTAAATTGTTGGTGCGGATAAATTGGAAACTTGAAATTCACGGTCTCAGCATTCACACTCGATGAAAGGGAATGTCCATGTGTCAGCAGAGCCGTCAATTTAATATCTCTGGCAAGCTAAAACCTTTAAGTGATTGTCCTGCATGGAACATCACTTTGGACATACTCTTTAGTGGATTAACTGCTGCAAATCTATTGTATTTCAATGCTGGAGACAGCGTTGACAATGTCCATGATCAAATTAAACTATACTTGAGACTCACTGTTGTTTTCCTCTATTGAGTGAGGTCTCATCGACGTTCCGATCATACTCCGTCCTGATATCGTCCAGGACTCCGTCGTCTCCGAATGCTCCCCATTCCATGTTGACGATGGTCTGTCTGGCGTTCCCGTCCCCTTCCCACGTTCCTACTTTGTTAACGTCTTCCATGTAGCAGGCGTTGGTGCCGGTACCTGCATGGGGAGGGGGCAGAGTTTAATTTTCTTTCAATCTTTTCAATTTCAATTTATTGTCCAATATTGGAAATTTGTTTTGCTCACATTTTACAAACGTACAAAGAATCAAAATAAGTTTACATACACAATACATCATATACCTTGACATAGAAATTCTTCAGAATATTGCTTTACAGAAAGTTTTCCTATGTTATTATAAAACAAAATAAGTGAATTATTTCATATGTTCGAGTGAATGGGATGGCATGGAAACGTTACAAAAATAACATTACAGAAATAAAGAAGTCTAATGGTCTAATGATCATTTAAGAAGATAGTTACATCATTTATGTAATAAGATAAATGCTAAATAGTTTTTTGTAAGCATTTTTGTCTAATATCATTTTAAGTTCTTTTCTTTTCCTCGATAATAAACACGAAAAGCAGTCAAGAGCTAATGCTCCAAATCATTTCAAACACTCTGAGCACTGATGGAATATGCAACTTGCAATAATATTACTATTAACACCGATACCAAGAGGCTTATTGCCGTGATAACATCTCTAGTACTTGAGTCACCTTTGATCTTGATAGGAGGAACTTAGTGACAAGGATTGATGCCTTAACAATAGGCTCTAGGCACTTTGACATGGTACAAACCATAGACCTTTTGGTTAGGTGAACACTGCTCAACCCACTGGGTGATCAAGTCTGAGTGATGAATCTTACACAAAAATAAAACCAGGGGGGTGTTTCACAAAGACTAAGATCGACTTTAAGTTGGACTTAACTATGGCGAGCCGTTCATGCCAATGTTTGCTCTTACCATTTACTGGCATCAGTCTTTGAAGGGACGTATATAAATCGTGGTCATAAATCTACATTTTTTGATATTTCATTATTCAAGGAAAAAATATTATCTAAAGATCATAATTGAGAGACCAATAGTGAGAGCAACCAGTGGTATGAATGGCCTGTCATAGTTAAGTCCAAATTAAAGTTGATCTTAATCTTTGTGAAACATCCCCCTGATTATATAATAATAAAAGAGTTTGCTGTTTCCAAGCCTTACCTAGGATGAGTCCTACATATGCGTTGTGATCAGTGTATGCACAGGACATGAGGGTTCCAGTCGTGTCATTCACAAGGGCTATTACATCGATGTCCACTCCCTGTATGTGAATAAAGCAAAAGGAAATTCATCCTTTAATACATCATCAAAGCCTGTATGCTACTCAAATTTATATCCACGATTAGCTTAAGCTTTTGTTCAAAAATTGGATATAACAAAGGAATCGGTCCAAATTTGTATTTGTTACTAACGACCGTAGACCTAATTTATAGAATGCAGAAAAGAGTATATAAACACAGTAGATTCATGATTATAAATATTTCATGAACATAATCTATTTCCTTCTCCCTTCATATTGTCCACTGAGAGTAAGAAGGGTGTGAAATTTTTACCTTTACATACAGATAACTAAATTATTCATACCCTTTAATACCAAAAAATTGATTCGTCCTGATTTATGTTTTTTGTTGAGATTATGACATATTAAATCTTACATCTAATATTATTCAATAAAAGCTTTACTTCAATCAAACAGTCCACCTTTCATTCGTGAGATACAAACAATTTAACAAGGGGTATCAATAATCTGTTTTTCAATGTAAATGTAAATTTAATGCTCTCCTAGCTCTCAGTAGATGATATACATGTGAATCCCATCAATTGACCTTTTGAACCTGTTCACTCTTCATCTTTCTAATGAAATTTGCATATAAGATAGCCTCCAAGATCAATTTCTGTAGTAACCTACAGCTTCATTCATAACTTTCACCTCAGTGATTTGCCAAATGATATCATTTGTAACACTCAACCTCTCGTTATACCCAACCACTATTACCAGCACATTTGCATTATCCATTAAATAGATTCCTGCTAGCATCCAAATATAAAGAGAATCTCTACATTTCTACTGGCACCAGCATACATACAATGCAAGAGTAATCCAAAATGGAAAAGAGTGAGTAAACTTATAGTAGGGCCTTGTCATGTAGCTCGGATAAAGCCAGAGTAGTAAAAGTAAAAGGAAGATTATTTTCAGGGGTGGGGGGGGGGGGGGTGATTTTATCCAAGGTGTAATTATCTTGATACGAGCTACGACTAATAAATGGACAAAATGACGTAGAAAAGACAGAAAAAGATTTTAGAAGAGGCTTACCCGTCTCTTGCAGGCTTCCATTAAAAGATCCACCACGTTCTTGCCCTCTACGCCGGCGGCTGTGAAACCTTTGGTCCAAGTTACGAGGATTCCTACACAGAAAGATAAAACATAGAAATTGTAAATTTTTTTAGAAATATAACTCTGAATTGCCCCCTAGCTGACTTCTCCCCCAAACAAATAAATACAGCACATGGTAACCATGACTCGTATCTTACAGTTGTGGTGATCAAAATTATTTTCCGACCTCATCTCCACTTTAAAAGAAATGAAACTCGTAAGCTCCAAGAATTGTGGGTTCAGCCATCTACAGCTATTATCTAAAATTAAAGCAATTTGACCAGAGAAGATTTTGATGTCTAACAAATATTTTGATACAGTAAAACCTGCTTTAATAGCAGTTACCTACAGAGAAAGACCACAGGCATATAATGGCCACAATTTTGTGTAAACATCCTTTGAAACCTGTACACAACATTACCTGCCTACAGAGACTGCTTTTTTCTCTTGCGCAATCTCTATATACAGGTTTCGAATACTAAATAAAATAAGATTCCCTCCCGTTCACTAAGTATACTATGATTAAAGCTGATTAATCAAAAGACCCTGTATTATAAAGAGTTGCGATTGATCCAAATCAATGGCAAGTTCTTTATTAAATCGCAAGCTTGCAGTCTCCTATCTATTATGTACATAATTACGATTGATATCAATCGCAAATAAGTTGCAATTAGTAGTAACTTTTTATAAGGCAGGGCCTCGATTAGTCTGAAAACAAATGTTTTTCATTGAGTATGAACAATTAAGAACCCAAGGAGTTGGATCCAAGAGGTCAGAATGGTCAAGTTCCAAGGGGATTGACTTGATGATCATCAGCAAGGCTGTCTGTCTGGCAGACCTGACTGACCTCAAGCCTGAAATGCAATTGACTTTACACTTGCTGTTCTGCAAATTTTACAGACTCCTCCAACAAAGTCAGATAAGGAACTATATAGGTACAGTCAAACCTGCTTTGGTGACGACCTGTATGGAAAGATCACCTGTCTACAAAGAGCACATATTTTGTTTCCCTTGAAAATGGTTTCTCATTGAAAAATGTATAAAGGAACCTGTACATTAGGACCACCTACCCATAAAGACCACTTTTTTTGTCTCCCTTGGGTGGTCTGTATAGACAGGTTTCACTTTATGACATTTGGCGCAAAAACTCTAAGTTCTGTATTCTACTAACTCAGGTAAACCTGACCAAATCTGTTTGCAGAGCATGCGACTTTCAGCAAGACTGATAGTTCAAAGAATTCACAGTACATAAATATGCTACATAAGCAATCCTTTCCTATCGCTTCCAAAGAGATTTTTTTTTTCACAATGTGATCACATGACCAGAACCAGAACTTTATTTTGAAAGTGTATAAACCATCAAAACATGTTGCCTCTAAAATGGTTCCATGTTGCTATACTGTATTAAAAATATGAGCTTTGAATATTTCTTTGACAAAGAGATGCTGCAGTTTAGATACACTATAAGTAAACATAAAAATGGTGTCAAGTTGACTTGTTCACACACCTGTACGCATTTGCCTAGAATAGGCAGCGCACAGAACTTAAGTTAGACTTGGGGTCCGTGCGCAGGGTTTGAATATTATCCTTTTTTTTTTAATACCTCTGAACCATCAACCTATAGAAAGCCAGGGAACTATTTTTAGGTTGATTTAATACATTTCAGTATAGATACACAAGGTATATTTTTGTAGGTGATGGTAACACTTTAAATGACCAATGTTATCAACTCATGAAAGTGTGTGGCTGAGTAGTCTTACTCGGGACTGATGTCATGTCGTACATACCTGATTTAAGGCTCAATTGTTTACAAGGGAATGAGAATGTGAAACCGAGAGGTAAACTCTTGTTGCCAAGGCCTTGCTCCGTCTTGAATTCATTCAGACAATCTGCGATGTAGTCAAACAGCTGGAGAAAAATGAGATGAGGATGAAAAAAAAAGAAGTCAACTATCAATAATAAATCCAATAATACAACTACAAACAACTACAAACTATAACTTCTTGTATGGAGCTTAGCCTTATACCCATCATGTTCATGATGCTCCCTTGTTATTGCCTCAATTATAACTTACGCTGCCAACTCATCAAGGATTTTAGGTATCTAGCTCCTCCTGGGTGGGAAGCGGCAAATGCAGATAAAATTTTTGCCAGAGGAAGTTAGTGCCAGCCTGGAAATTGACCCCAACCTAACCTCTTGATTGAAAGTCAAGTGAACATTTCCTGAGTATATTGATAAACTAACAGGACTAAAGAAAAAAGTATGACTAGTGATGAAAAGACATCAAATTAAAATTGAGCCCGAAAAGAAATAAAACACAAAAATCAAGAGATTCAAAACTAGTTGTTAAGATTTATATATATGATGTATATACACTGTATGTACATTCCACATTCCGATTAATATAGATAACAAAAGGCAAGAGAACAGAGAACTTTGAATATTATGGCAAAAAGGTAGCATGCTGAAATACAGAATTAAAACTAGATGGAATTTTGACTGCCCGCAGTCGAAAATGATGCGTCCGCCATAGAGCAATTTAAACAAGTTTGGAGTTTAAATCTCCAGTGGTTCTTGAGATATCATGATAACAATCTCAATGTATGGAATTTCATAAGTTGACCTCTGTGACCCTTGACCTTTGACCTACGTGCTCCAAAATCTAATCAGATTGTCTTCCTATGGTGATACACACTATCATTAAGTTTGAAGTTTAAATCTCCAGTGGTTCTTGAGATATTATGATATGGTGATACATACTATCATTAAGTTTGAAGTGAAAATTCTCCAGTGGTTCTTGAGATATCGCGATAACGATCTCAATGTATGGAATTTCATAAGTTGACCTCTGTGACCCTTGACCTTTGACCTACGTGCTCCAAAATCTAATCAGATTGTCTTCCTATGGTGATACACACTATCATTAAGTTTGAAGTTTAAATCTCCAGTGGTTCTTGAGATATTATGATAACAATCTCAATGTATGGAATTTCATAAGTTGACCTCTGTGACCCTTGACCTATGACCTACGTGCTCCAAAATCTAATCAGATCGTCTTCCTATGGTGATAAATACTATCCTTAAGTTTGAAGTTTTTACATCTCCAGTGGTTCTTGAGATATCATGATAACAATCTCAATGTATCGAATTTCATAAGTTGACCTCTATGACCCTTGACCTTTGACCTACGTGCTCCAAAATGTAATCAGATTGTTTTCCTGTAGTGATACACACTATCACTAAGTTTGAAGTTTAAATCTCCAGTGGTTCTTGAGATCTCATGATAACAATCTCAATGTATGGAATTTCATAAGTTGACCTCTGTGACCCTTGACCTTTGACATACGTGCTCCAAAATCTAATCAGATCGTCTTCCTATGGTGATACATACTATCCTTAAGTTTGAAGTTTTTACATCTCCAGTGGTTCTTGAGATATCGCGCTAACAAACTCAATACAAGGAATTTCATAAGTTGACCTCTGTGACCTGTGACCTTTGACCTACGTGCTCCAAAATGTAATCAGATTGTTTTCCTGTAGTGATACACACTATCACTAAGTTTGAAGTTTAAATCTCCAGTGGTTCTTGAGATATTGTGATAACGGTCAAACGGGACGGACGTACGGACGGACACTCGGATCTACGGACGTACGGACGGACAACCCGAAAACATGATGCCTCCGGCACCACCTTCGGTGGCGGAGGCATAAAAATACAAAAAATACCAAACAAGAGATAATAATAATAATAATTTACATAGCACAGCTTTTATACAAGATATATTCAGCTGCGCTATGATATTTGTAACACAGGTTGACTAGAGTACATTTAAACATTAACTATATTCATATAGCATCCTGTATATTCACCAAAAATAAAGCCCCGCCCCTCCCACCACCACACCATGCAATCTGTTTATTTATCGGAAAAATTTGTTAAGATAGACAGGTGTGAATCCTTGCAGCAGAGATAACCCATTACCAAATTCTATTTTAACCATCCACGATAAAAAAGTCAATATTTGCTTTTTCGTCTAGACTCTCTGACAATGATTGAAGGCAAGGTCGCTCTCAAGCAATTTCCACTACGTATGGAAAAAAGAAATTGCCTGATGTCGCGTTTTTCTTGCTGATAAATTAAGCAGAGTTCCATGTTGCTATATGAGGAATTTTTGTCTAGACTAATGTGTACTGTACTTGAGTAATATTGGCCTTGCGCAAATGTTCTACTACGAATAGAACAAAAAAAGATGTCACCCAATGTCTATAGTTTTTCGCTGATTAATTGAGCACTAGAATACTGGACACTGATTGAAAAGCATTGTCAGTCTCCTGCAAATTTCTACCATGAAGAGACAAAAAGAAATGGCCCCCAATTTTGTTTTTGCTGACGAATAGAGCAGAGTCGCATGTCGCTACATGAGACAGTTTTTTCTAGGATACTGTATACTAGACTAAAGCAATGTCGACCATTTATAAATTTTCTTCTACGAACAGAAATAAATATATCACCCAATGGTTATATTTTTTGCTGATAAGTGAGGAGAGGCATGTGTTGCTCGCATTTTGGAACAATGATTAAGAGCAATTTCAGCCTTGTGTGAATTCATAATACAAATATAAAAGGAAACAAGTCATTTGACGTTTATTTTCTTGATGATAATTGAGCAGAATCTCCCGCTGCTAGCTTTTTTTTGACAATGATCTAGAGCAATGGTGGCCTCATGCAAAATTCTTTTGATAAATAGAAAAAAATAGAATCAGCCAACATTTCTTTTTTGCTGATAAATTGAGAGAGTCACATGTTGGTGGCATGTGAATGCTTTTGGTTTTCATTTGGCGTGCATCCTTGGCACAATCAAGCGCAATGTTGGTAGAATTGGTGATCCAGATAATTAATGGAGTGCCTGGAAATGGGGCATGAACTTAATGAAGCACGAACGAGGCAGGTACATATATACATTTCTGTTTAATGCATGACCCATGTTTGACCTGTCTTCAACTGCATCGCTATGCTGTCACATCTTATTAGGGCGCTTTAGTAACCAGACGGTACGCACAGGAGACGGAGTGTTTAACCAGCTGTGACGGGTCTCGCACTCTTGTTACCGTCGTGATTTTTAAGCGCTTTCGCCGTCTGCTAAAGGCGACGGGGACGCAAAGCCGCGCTGAACTGCACACCTGCTGCATTTTGGTGCTAGTGCTCTTGGGCCTCGAGGCTTGGCCGGAGCGCCGGGGCAATAGACCCGGCGGTGGGCTGTAGTGCGCAGCGTGCAGGCACGTCATGCATAACGATGAAAAAGGGCCCCCAAAGTAGGCCTAAACGGCCAAACCATCAATTTATTGTAGATTGAGGTATAGATACCGAACTGACATTGGAAACACTAGTAGATTCCCTGTTTTTATCTTCAGTAGGGCCCTGCATTGTTAGATCTAGATACAAATTATTTGTTAGCTCTCTCTCTTACGTCGTGTTTAGGGAACGAACGCTATGTTGGCCGAGTACCGTTCCGAAAATCGACGGGACGGAGAGAATTCAGAATCGCGCATGCGCAGTTTTTTTTTTTTCGCTCGCGTTACCTTCTCCTGTGCGTACCGTCTCGTTACTAAAGCGCCCTATTGTCTGAATTGTTAACAGTAATACATGTGTAGGTTACAACTTCTCAATATTATAATTTATTCCTTACATGGCAAACCTACAAAATTTGATATTTTGAACAAAACTTGCATTTGCAACATTCTGCTAGCCACAAGTAATATCGAACAATTAAAAAAATATATGTTTTACTGGTAGCCTAACCACAATATTTACTCTTTTTTCATGTCTTTTTCTTACTTGTTTATGTTCACTAACTACCATTTCTGGAGCATTTTGCATGAAAAGGAAGATTTTTTCATGTGATTCATTTTTATTTACATTTCCCCCCTACAACTCTCATGAGATTTTTAGTGCTATGTGTACACTCCACTCCACTCCCTTGTATTTATTCACTGATAGTCAAAAACTTGCTTTTCTTGATAAAATTGCAGGCTCCTCCAATAAAGTCAGGGATATCACATTTACAGAAATAGGTAAGTTTTGAGAAATGAAGATGAGATAAAAGGTTTCCTTTTTGCCAATGTTACTTTTTAAAAAAATTTTTTTTACCAAAATCTTTTGAGACTACCAGAGCTATTTAACAGCTCCCTAGAGATAAAATAATTGTCACCATTCCTATGAACTCTCTTTTTGTTTGCTTTGAAAATGAGAAACTTGCTGAAGTTTACCTGATCTCCTGTTCCGACCATGATCTCCTTGGCGATGGCGTATGTCTTGCTCTCCATCTTGACTTCTCCTTCCAGGAGCTGCACCAAGAGAACGCGGAAGTTGCTCCCTCCCAGATCCAGGGCAAAGAAATCACCTCGTTCTGTAGGGAGGGAATATGAGAGAGAGAGAGGAAGGGAGAGAGAGAGAGAGAGAGGAAGGGAAGGAGAGAGAGAGAGAGGAAGGGAAGAGAGAGAGAGAGAGAGAGAGAGAGAGAGAGAGAGAGAGAGACGAGAAAAGAAGAGAGGGAGAAATACATGAATTATGTCATATTCAATTTAATTTAATATTTATTGAAATTCACATAAGTGGGTCATTCTCGAACTGTATGGCACTGACATTTTTTTTATCTAGATGCATGTGTTCAACGTAATGCAGCACCCCCAGAGAGAAAGAGAGAGAGAGAGAGAGAGAAAGAGAGCATAAAAGTGCACCAACTTTTGAAATTGAAAATGCACATGTATGATGAATATCAATTTATTCCCTCGGTGGCACATCCGCATCACACAAGGAAGTAAACATGCATAAATGTGGTTAGGACGGGATTTGCTGTTTCGCCCCCAAGAAATGGAGAGAACAGGGACAATCAAACAGAGGCTATTTCCTATTATATATTAAAATTCCATATATCCTGGATCTAGACAAAGGATTAACAAAATATTTAACTGTAGGGACCAGAACTTTTGAAACATACTTGGAGGGTGGCTGGAATTCTGATCTACATATCTAAATCAGCCTGTGCAAATAGCTGTTATTGATTAAACAGGATCTTACTTACATGTACATGTATCTTGGGTTATTATCTTGCGATATCATTTTGGGATTATTATCTTGGGGATATTATTTTGGGATTATTATCTTGGGGATATTATCTTGGGATTATTATCTTGGAATTATTATTTTGGGATTATTATCTGATATACGGTAGTGACAATGAAGTGATCGCAACATCACCACGGCGGCATATTTGGCCTCTGCACATGAATAACCTAATGCTTCATATCATAAAAACTAATCATTTACACTCTTGTTTGCCTATTTACCTATAGATATATATTCATATATATATATATATATATATATATATATATATATATATATATATATATATATATGGTAATTGTTATGAGAGTCATTCAAGTATGTTGCTTGTTTGTTGCTGTTTTTGTTGTTGCTTGTTTTGTTTTGTTTTTAAATAATAAAAATAATTATTTATTATTCTTTTTTTGTTGGTTGTTGGGGTAGGGTTACAAACATGTAGCTACCCATGTTTTAACTAAAACACAAACTTATTACAAACATAGATCATAAAACTTTGCTCTTAAAAAACATATACAACGACAAACCTACAGTGTACCATATCGTACATTGCTATTCTTTAAAAGAAAATCTTTAGTGGCAAATATAAAGTTCATTATTAAGGGAAAACACTTTATGTGGAGGGCTCAAAGATGAGAGGGTTCTACAGGAAAGTGGCCCATAACTCAGAATGACACATTTGTAGCAAGGTCCCCCATATGACCCTTACATTTCTATGTATCCTTATATCCTGCATATGTGCATTAAAATATTCCAGGAGCCCTGGCATTCGTGCCTATGATATTTCTATTTCAAACATCATTTTGATTCTTCTTTGGACTTTAAAGAGGATACTTGAACTTGAAGGTCAATCGACTTCACTCCGCAAGGCCATGAAATACATCTCAATGATGTTGCCCTACTCTCTCTCTCTTTCTCTCTCTCTCTCTCTCTCTCTCTCTCTCTCTCTCTCTTTTCTACTCCCTATGCAAGACTCGTGTATAGGGGCCAATAGGCATGTACTAAATGATATTGAGTTAGTTCAGGAGGGCAAGACCAGATTCCAAACATTGCAAGTGCAGAGGAAGTGTGCATAGCAGAAGGTATGATCTTCAGGGGGCGTCTAAAGAGAGAAAACGCCATGCTGGGAGGGGGGGGGGGGGGTGTGGGCTTCTTAGAAGAGGATTGGAGTATTGAATGAAAGAGATGCATGGACTGAAAGATGAATAGAAAAAAGGTTTTAGGGAAAGAGAAGGGGAAAGAGAAGGGGAAAGGGAGGGGAAGGGAAGGGAGGGAAAGTGGAGGGAAAGGAGAGTGAGGGAAAGGAGAGTGAGGGAAGGGGAAAGGAGGAAATGGGAGTGAAGGAAGGGGGAGAGACGGAGGGACAGCAAGGAGCACACAAATGTATATTCTTACCATAGATTAATTGACCAATGAAGATACAACTTTCCAACAATATAAGATGATCATCGGCTAACAAAATTTATCAAACCAATCAAGCATGAGAGCTTGAAAGAACGAACGAATAGACTATTACAAAGGAAAAACAATAAACTTCAGATACAACGCAACCAACACGACCTAGCAAGCAATTCATTAGCGAGAAGGATTTATAAGTGTTGGAGGCTTTTTTAAAACAGCAATTTCTTTTAAAAAGCCATGAAGCGAAGGTAGCTAATAAAAGGAAGGGTGCGCTTGATGGTAGGCGAACTATTCATCAAGCTATTTTTGAAGTTAATGATCTCTTCATTCAGTAACAGTATCTACTCTACTACCTGAATGTCAGACTCACACTACTGTGTTGCTTACCGGTACACCTACATGTACATGGCCTGTTTTCATAAGTGATACATTATGCATTAAATATGTATCACTTGTATAGTGTTAATTAAATTTTAAAAATCTGATAAATTCCCAGAGAATAACTGTTACTGATCTTAAATTTGGATCCTTAGTTTTTACCAATAACAATAGTGACTATATTTGAAGTGTTAAAATCAAGTGGGTCCAAACTTAGATTTTGGGAGCCCATGCATGTGTACATTGTCTAAGGTGCCTGCTAGTGCTGAGCTCTGAGAAACATTAATAAAGGAAAAGAAAGTTTGGGTAGTAATGACATAAATGACTACATGTACACAGGGTTGTGATAAAGAACTTGTTTTCTTTTAAATTTATAAGCACAAGCCCAGAATGTTTTTTTAAAAATTGTTTTAAGCCTATTTTATTGCTAAAAACATTGTTTTTTTCAAAATAGGATTGTGCTTTCACTGCAGTAATTCTCTCAAAGTTGTTTACAGTAACACCAGTTCCTATAAACACTTTAAACGCGTTCAGAAACACAGTTTTTTTGACATACCAACCCTGCATGTACAGCACTGAAAACGTACACCGTTAAACTTTTATGAACAGGAGTAGGCCTACAGCTTTGAACGAATTCCTCCCAACGTGGCAGAAAATCTCATTTTTACATGGACCTTACACACGTGACCCTAAAACCTGTACATGTAACTCTGCATAACCTGGCACAATAAATCAAACATGTTTATGGTAAACCCATTTACAGTGGCTGAGCTACAATGCAGCCGCATCCAAGAGGAAATAACAATGACATAGAGAGATTTGCAGATCCTTGATCAAATTAAATTTTAGAGCCTTTTGATCACTGTACCTTTTTTGTGATTTATTAATAGACCATGAATAAAAAAAATGAATGAAAAAGCTGTAAATGAGAGGCTACATTGTACATTGTAACTGCAAACTTGCTAAATTTTCAAAAAGGTAAAAATCTGTGATCATTGGGGCTTGAAGTATATATTAAAGTAAAGACCAGTTCTGGTCATGCGATTGCATTGTGAAAGAAACGGTTGATCATCTAGCATATACCGGTAAGTATTGGTGTGTGCTGCAAGGTTCTGGAATCATCAAAATGATAAGAAATTTGGCGCATTCTTCGTAAAGTTACAAGCATTTCACACATAAAGATGTATATGGGACTACGCACACGTGCGCGACACGTGCATATTATCTATTTGGTCCCAATAGAATAAACTAATTTACCAAATATATCAATTAGTGGGCGGTTTCACGGCAAAATTTGTATCATCATGTATTAGTCAAAACAAATTCTTTCACATGATTGGTAATAAGAGCTTCTATTTCATTTTTTGAGAGGGTGGCGTTTCCAATACTGGTCTTTACCTTTAAGTTTCAATTCTAATAAACATGTAGGCCAAGCTTTATCAAAGGAAAAGAAATTAGACTCAACTAGCGGTAAACTGTCATATTCCAAACAAGAGTTTAACAAAAAAATCACCCTACATATTGTGTTGGGCTGCAATGAAATCTTAGGTCTCAATGAAATCTCAATGCAATAATGTTAGGTATTTTTAGGCCTACTTGGAGCTGCTTGAGTGTCATTTGCTAGGAATTCAGATTACTAAAAGCAAATCATTTCCAATCTTTAATCAAATCAGCAACAGCAAGCACTGGGTAAATGCCAGTTTCATAATTCAGCACCCAACAGGCCTGCACGTCATGAAACTGAATAGCACACTTTCTAGCATGGAGCCATCGTAAGTCGGTCAGTCGAAGGGTCCGTGTGTAATTGCTGGGTCGTGGGCAGGTCAGCGTTAACACGTGGACATGAATTGCAATAGTCTAATATGTCTACAGAGCAGAGTGTGCACTTTCATTTGCGTGAGCTCTTTGGTAAATAAAACAGGGTGGGATGGACAGACTGGGACGAGTCTAAATGGCTTAATATGCACAGTGACGATAGTGATGAATAGGACTCAAATCTTCTATCCTATCCTATTCATGATTGAAAAAGGAAAGCATTCATGTGTGAATATGATATGTGTGAAAATGCTAGCTTTTACTCCAGGAAGCGTTAAAAACTAATTTGCTTCACCTACATGTAAGTTGTACATAATTACACCCTGACCTAATATTGCTCCTGGAAATGTACCGGTACACAAATATACGGTAATCATTGCCGTAGGGGCTAGAGTTATAAGTTTCTCCTTTCACTAAACTGACCCAACCTCACCTCCACCCACAACCATCACAAAATATGGAGAAAGCTATGTTGGAATATGGCCAATAGTAATTAGTAGACCAAAGGGGGCGTTTTCCATACAACTTGAGGGAGGGGGGGGGGGGGGGGAGCAAGATTACAAAGCTTCCAGTTCCAAGAGCACTCTCATGTAAAATGCAAATCTAACAACACATCATCAACCTTGATGACCCAACAAAAAAGTGCCTGGTAATTTAATAGCATAAAAGCATGAGGGAAAACTTGTTCTC